AGTATTGTGCTGCCCTCCCACTATTGGTACACTGTACTCTCGAAATAGCGCATTTCCCACTTAAACCCCAAAACTGAGTATCGTCTGCATAATGTATGTGTAGTTTGTGACCAGGCTCATTGTATGATGAGCGTCGTGACACGAAAAAATTGGTCTATGTACATGTACACTGGTAACTCAGTTTCGTAGTCTAGACTAGTTTCCTCCTTCACTTTTGGTCAGCAATGTATATGAAATGACTGAAATTCTGTACTTTAAACTAATAATTTTGACATATTATTGCAAAAGATAACATGAGTTGTCACTTCTACGGTGACACTACCTTGCAGTTACTTGTGCGTGTATGTACAGTGGTCAATACTGCAAAGATATGTATTATTGTTGACACACTATAATGACTCGCTCACTCACACTTGAGTCAGTCTCTACCTCTCAACACATTGTGAAACTCGACACATAGCTCTCTAGTCAGATACAGTTATACTCGAAGTACACACATATACATGTCGTCGACGACTTCCCTGTTGGGGAGGTATCCTGCAAGTTAGCACGCAAATGCTAGTGTAGTACTATAATACTGTGTTAGTTTCGTCAAGTTCCCCTCAACACCTCATAACTGATTTGGGCCAGGTACTTTATAGAGGATAGAGACACTTAGTCACACATAATACTTAATTTACGAAAACACAGACATAAAGATGCGCACACAACAAAAAAATAGTCAAAATTCTGTTGACGACGTTTAGGCTTATCTTAGAGACGTACAGTGATCAGTCCTTTCGGCAAGACGTACTTTCCCTCTCGTTGCACAATGTACGATCAGATTCGACACATGGCTGAGCTGTACTCAGTGCTTACTTCGTTGTCCATGTAAACGTTTTACCACGAAAACGGTACAAGACGTCAGACGTACGTGGACAACGGTACACTTCTCTCGACAGGCTTCTCAGATAGTCGTGTGTGCGTGTGCGTGTGCGTGCGTGTGTAGTGGTGTGTGTGTGTTGGTGTGTGTGTGGTTGGTGTGTAGTTTACAAGAGCTTATGTGTAAGTGTTACCGTACGTTTACATACACTTTACGACACAAATATTTGGACAAAAAAGTTGCACACACACACACACACACACACACACACACACACACACACACAACACCCCACACACACACACCACACCAACACCAACGCACGTCCGTGAATACCTCCCCACTCCAAACCCCAGACCGAAGGAGTTGGGGGAGGAGGTACAACACGGTGTGCCAGTCGCTACTATCCTGAAGAGTCTGAACCCCTCTGCTAGCTCGTTAGGTGGCGCTAAACCACCGGCAGGCGTCGAACTCCTCTCCACCAAACTAAGCATAAGCGAGTTTAGCGATCGTATACGACTGTAATAAAAACGGTAAGTAGTCATAAAATAATGCCTTTGCCATGCTATGCTATGCTACTATGAAATAACGAGTCTAGTTCAGACTATTAAACCGACGTAGTGTCGGTCGAGGTACACATTGTAGTGTACCTGTTATAGTTTCCTGTTATGTAACTAACACAAAAAAATGATAAAATTTTACCTATACTTATTTTGTCTTCTGTCACATTTACCCATGGTTAAAAAAGGATAGAGGTTAAGTGATGTACTTAGGACATACTCAACTAAACTGTACATATAAAGGTGGTATATTCTATTTATTTGACTGTCTCCATTTCCTTCGCTTACTTATGTCAAAATTATGAAGAGGTGAAAGGAGGTCCGACAGCGACGACAGAGGAGGGGCTCCTTGCCGGGAACGCACCCAAGACCTCAACTGCCCCCCACTACCACCACTTGCGTCTGTGCGACCTCCCTGGACGACTCGAAGTTTGGTGGCGTCTCTGCGGTAGAGTCTGTAGGCGAAGTGGGGTCATGTGTGTGTGTGTAGATGTGTTATATTGGTCCTACACGTTTTCATGTTTGTGGAAACGAGTTTCTCTTCATGTCTTTGATACACAAATTTTTAATGAGACCATTTTCATCTTCATGACTGATTTGAAAGAAATGAGTTCATTTATTTCTCCCGAAACTTTCCACATGAATGTCATTTTTTCATGCATTGATCGTCTGACAAAATTTCTCATGGACTGGAGGGAAATATAATTATCTTGTTATTACAGTAAACATCGATTTACTTACAAGGTACGACTTGGTTGCCGTTGTAACTGTTGCAATAGTCAACCAGGGAGAAGAAATCTCTTCTGTCCTTTACTTACCTATGTGCCTTAGCACAAGTTTCAGTTATCCGTGCGTTACTGAGATTCTATTATTACCTAGTCGGTGGTTGTGTGTAAGTCTGTTTCCCTTGGGTCGGACAACCATTTTACATTCTTCCATCTTTCATGTCCATAAACTCAAGTTGTACATCATTCTTCATCTTTCATGTCCATAAACTCAAGTTTTTAACATTTCTCCATCTTTTCCATGTCCATAAACACATGTACATTCCTTCATCTTTTCATGTCCATAAACGCAAGTTGTACATTCTTCATCTTGCATCGTCCATAAAACACTTGTACATTTCTTCATCTTTCATGTCCATAAACACACGTTTTACATTCTTCAATCTTTTCATGTCCCATAAACTCAAGTTGTACATCTTCATCTTTCACTGTCCATAACACAAGTGTACATTCTTCGGTTTCATTGCTTAGCAGTCTTTTTATTCATCACCTCAATTCACGACTATGGTCTTTTTAGCATGACATTAATTCATAAACATGAGGTAGATGAAGGTGGAACTTATATTGATGATCATATTGATACCGAGCCACGACTCTGAGCGTAACGGGAAAGGTTTTATTAATCGATGAAAGTTTGATTTGTCCGCGTTTCTGATTTTAGATTAGTTCTTTTAGCTAACGTCTACGGAAAAAAACTTTTCTATTCGTTTTGAAGGTGACCGTACAAATAAAAGTGTCCGATTACAGTCTGGATGATTATTCTGAAAATTAATTACTTGTTGTGGGTGAAAGACTTCTTCTCGCACTACTAACACCTAGTACATTTCGTCTTAACTCAATTAGACCGTTGTTTTCTATATAAGAATTATTATATATAATGGTAATCATTATGTTTTTGGTTTCCAGATTTTTCAGGTAGAACTCAAGGACTAGGAGTCTGTAGTCCATTAAAGGATCTTGTTTTTTCCACCGCTAGGGTTACTTGTCCTTTTGATTTAGTCACCTTAGATGTTTGCACGTCTTTCGTCTGTTTCTTCCACCCTTGTCTATGACGTTGCCTCGGCGAGGTCGATGTATGTGCTTGTGTAGTTGACCCTGAGTTCCCATTGTGTGTGAATATAAGTTTCAACAAACTTTGATTCTGCACACTAACAGCTTTGTTCAACCTTGAAAACACTTAGAATGTTAGAAACGTGACTTTCAGGAATATAAAAATGTACAAAGAAAAGTTCACAACTTTTCCAGTTAGAAAAAGAAAAAGACACACACAAAACACACACACACACACACAACACACACACACACACACACACACACAACACACACAAGGACACACACACACACACACACACAACACACACACAACACACACGCAACTCGTTGGAGATACGTCATTGTCCATTTGATTCTTCCGGGTACGCATGATGTCAACCGTACCCGGAACGAAATGGACCAATCCGTGGAGCCGTTACGTTAAGCTCCCGCTGATTGGTCCAAATTGACCAATCCACGGACTTCCTCACACACACACTCAGTGCAGGCAGCTCTGCTGATCTCTCCTCCCTGGCTGCAGGCTGATAACAGACAGTTGGGATCGCGGTGAAATTCTCTCTGCAGACCCATTCTCACAGCGTTTATCAACCTTTTTCTTACTCAATATCAAGCCACACTTATTGTTTTTACTTCGGCTGTGACTTTGTGTGTGCTCAGGGTGAGTTTGGATTTGTTTCGCTGTGTATCGCTAAACAAGGAAACCACACCTCCACGGAGCTCAGCGCGATTCACAACGTCCCGACCAATCAGAGCACACTGTGCTCACAGGGAGGGTGGGGGCTGGAGCTATTGGAGCTACAACGAGCTGTTGAAGGCAGAAAGTGAAATTCAGTGAATACACGTAGTTTACAGAGATGCTGTTTGAGAAACCAAAGTGAGTTTGGAAAATTGCACAATATAAATCTATTCTAGTAGACCTCAACAATGGAATTATGATCAGTGGAAATGGCCATGACATGGGACCTTTAATGATGATGTGTCTGAAAATGTGCTATATAAATAAACTTACCTTACCTTAAGGTAGGGCTGCTCGATTATGGCAAAAATCATAATCTCGATTATTTGGGTCAATAATTGATATCACGATTATTAAAAACAATTATCCATTTACTTTGAAAACATCAATTACTCAACTGAAAAACCAATTTAAAAAAAAATAATAATAATAACAATAAAAAAATAATAGTTATATTTCGATTACGTTGTTTTCGTAATCGTTGCAAGCCATAATCGTAATTGCGATTAAAATACGATTAATTGAGCAGCCCTACCTTAAGGGCATTATTTATTTGACTGATACTCTATCTCTATACTGAAGGGGGATTTGACCGATGATGAAGCCACTGGGAGGAACTTGTTGGCGATCCCGAGTCCTCAACGACCCCCGAGAAGACGAGGCTCCATCGCTCCGGTACAAAGTGGGTCTTCTGTTCCCTTAAGCTTCGTCGCTGGGAACAGAAGGAGGCTGGATCCGGATCAGCTACCCCGGGAAACCTTCGCCGGTTCCCAAGGGTCTCTGGCCGAATCGTCTCTTCCGGAGCACGGTGGCTCCGAGTCCTCAAGTCGACTTGGCTCCTATGAAGAGCTCAGCCATGGTCTTATGAGAGGAGGGAGATGCAGATCTGGGGAAAGTGAAGGGTACGACGATCAAGGGGAGCCTCTGAGGCCCCCGTCGCCATCTTCCTTCCAGGAGGTCAAACCCAGGAGTTCGTTCCCTCAAGCTCCACCACGAAATCGCACCCGATCCAACCCTAATTTATGCGGTCTAATCCCAGCGAGTCCCAGTCCCAGCCTCTCGTCTCTTCAGGCTCCAGAGAGGCCCCCCAGATCCAGAGACAAGAAAGAAAGTGGGGGTCTCCAGAGACATGCATCTGATACAGCTCTGGAGCTCAGACCCCCGACGGGAAAGTCGCCCAAACTGGGTCTGCTGAAGATCTTCCGCCGGCAGTCGTGGACCGGACACTCGTACTCTCCGCTGGACAACCAGGCGTTAGGACCCACGCTGGGGGAGATCATGACGCCCGACACCCCCACCATGTCTCTGAGGAAGAAGATGAGAGCGTCAGCCTCCAGTCTGACCAAACTGTTCACCAGGTCTAAGGAGGATGTGAGCAAAGGAGGTGAGACATCTAAATAGTTATATCATGTGTTTAATGTTTGACTTGTCTGTGTGTCTCTATGTGTGACGTCTCATTCTCAAACATCTCCAAATATGGTACAAATGTCCACTCAGGGATGAACTGATTTCAATCACTGTTTAAAGAATATTTATGGACACGGGATGATAGAAATGTGAATAGTCTTTTGCATTTAAACCCCATCGTGATATGATGTATCTTAAAGGGGAGGTGCAGCCAACGGTAGAATATGAAACACTCCCAGGGTCTAGACCAGTGTTTCTCAAACTTTTTCATTTCAAGGACCACTTATATATTAGATATTCCCACGAGAGTGCAGAAGAATTAAATTTATTTATTTATTTCAAATGTGACATTTTACCAATATACTAACGGACCACTAGAGGGCGCTCACGGACCACCATTGGTCCGCGGACCACACTTTGAGAAGCACTGGTCTAGCCACTGTTTGGGATGTTGATGGGATAAGGGCGTTATTATTTTGTTGTATTTACCTGAGCCGTTGCTAGTGTATTTTGTATATCTACACTGTCATGTTGTTTGTTTCCTCTCACAGGGCCAATAGTGAAAGGCTCAGCTCCGACCCCTCCTGAGAGGAAGCGCAGCTCTGGGCTGGAGAGTCCAAAAAAGAGAGCCTCCAAACTCCTGCCTTCTTTTAAAATACCTGCTTTTAAAAAGAACAAAGGTAGGAAATACACTTTTTATCTGTGGAATATTTCCTGTAGGTCCAAAAGGCTTGAAACAGGCTAACATAATGTACCTTAGCTACTCTGCCTGAGTATGTTTGTGTTACTTCTTCATGTTCTCCAGATCTGCTGGTTCGTCCAAACAAAGCTGAAGTTTTCCAGTTAGACGGAGGTGGCGTCCTGCTGGGCTGGAAGCCAGTTCAGACCAGTGACCCCGTCACCTACTGTGTGCAGTACTGCACAGAGGGTGGGTGCACACACAAACACAGTAGCTGTTTTTTGCAAGAGCATTAAAGGAGACATATCAAGCGAATCTCAAGATTTATACTTGTCTTATTAGGTTTATAAAGGAACACGTTTACATGCTTTAAAGGTCCCGTGTCATGGCCATTTCTACTGATCATAATTCCATTGTTGAGGTCTACTCAAATAAATGTATATTGTTCAATGTTCCAAACTCACATTTCTCATACAGCACCTCTGTATAGTATGTGTATTCGCTCTCTGTCCTAAACGGCTTGTTGGAGCTCCTGCCCCCCCCTCCCTGTGAGCCCAGTGGCCGTCTGCGAGACACAGCGAAACCCAGCCCGAACACACACACACACCCGCAGCCTGGCTTGGAGTTTGTGTGTGTGCTCACACACCGACTCACAGCCTCGCCGCGTGAAAAGAGCGTGTGTGTGTGTGTGTGTGTGTGTGTGTGTGTGTGTGTGTGTGTGTGTGTGTGTGTGTGTGTGTGTGTGTGTGTGTGTGTGTGTGTGTGTGTGTGTGTGTG